AACAGGGAAGGGGGGCAGGGGGGCGGGCTCAGCGGGGGTGGTGGTGGAGGGGGGGTGGAGGGGGCGGGCTCATCCAGGAGTGGGGGCAGGGGGGCGGGCGCCTGCAGCCGTGACCAGCCCGGTGTGGGGGGTGGGGTGCAGGGGCCCCTCGCTCACGCAAGTGAAGCCAGGGCTCTGTTGGCGGGGGTGGCCGCCCGGCTGCGCTAAAATTCAGGACGCTCGGCTAAATTTGCATTTCAGGCCAACGGCGAATGGCATACTTGAAGTGTGCCCCGTGCCGTATGGGGGACATACTCGTGCTTTTGAAAATCGCTCATCGTTTACCCGAAGTTAAAACTTACTGGATGCCCTGTCCTTTTATTTGCTAACTCTGGCCACCTCCTGGTTCCCCCGCGAGACCTCGGAGAGGGCACCCCGGGTGCAGGCGCTTCAAACGCCCCTGCCCCGAGGCAGCACAGGGGACTGCGGAGCCGCCAGGCCCCAGCCGCGGGGCACGTGGGGCCGCCACGTCGTCCAGCCCTTGGGCGCGAAGGCACCCGCGGTTTGCGCGAGCAGGAGAAAAGGGGCGGAGCTCCCTGGTCGCCCAGCCCCCGGAGAAAGCACTCTCGCCAGAGCCGAGGGCACCCGCGTCTTGAAGACGGGCCTGGGGCCGCACGCACGAGTGAGCACAGCAGTGAGCGGGGGGCAGGAGGGACGAACGGGGCTCATCGGGAAATTTCACCGCCGACCCCCAGGATGCGTCAGTGCAAAACGTAAAAACTAGACACTGGTTATCAAGGTGACTGTGTTAGTTGGTAACGAATTAGCACACACTTAGCTGCTTACAACAACGCCCATTTCTCAGGGTCTGCGGGGGTCGGAAGTCCAGCGCCGGGTGTCGGGGCCTCGGCTCAGGGCCCCACGGGGCTGCCTGCGCAGACAAAGGCTCCACTGGGGAAGGACCCGCTTCCCAGCTCCTTTGACTGTTGCTGGAACTATCTCCTGACTCTCGTAGGGCCGAGGTCCCGGTTTTCTTGCTGGCCACCCCACGCACGTGCTTGTCCCAAGGCCCCTTCACAGACAGTTCACAACCTGACTGGTTGCTTCACTCTGGCCTTTCTAG